ACTCGGGCTCAATGGCTATCAAATCTTCAGGGTTGACAGAAATTCTCTTAACAGTAACTACTCACGAGGATGTGGTGTTCTCATTGCAATCAAGTCGGATATAAAAACATCTCTTATCTGTACAAACMTCAACACGCTTGAGCAAGTATATACCCTTCTGTCCATTAATTCATTTAAAACTATTATAGGTGCAGTTTACTTACCACCTGTGTCTACGCTCCCAGATTTTGAGGCCCATACCAGCTCTATCGAACACTTAATATCATCCACTAACCCTACTTCTATCCTTCTCTGTGGTGACTATAATCTACCTCTTATTAAATGATCTAAAAGCAACCAAAGTCTTTTCGCATCTGGTACAATGTCTAAAACTTCTACTCATCTTGTCGATTCTTTCTCGTACTATAATTTTTACCAGCTTAATCAAGTGCCTAATTCCCGTGGATGACTTCTTGACCTTGTCTTTTCTAGTTTTGATACACCTACTATCCAACTTGCCAACACTCCAATCGTTTTTCCGGATTCTTACCACCCACCTTTGTTWATATCTTTTCCTATTCCAACTCCCATAACTGCTATAGACACACATCAATACCGTGATTATAAATCGGCTGATAATAAATCTATGCTCCAATATCTAGGATCGTTTGATTGGGAAAATACCTTTTCGCTTTATTCAGTTGATGATTCTACTGTTGTCTTTAATGATGCACTTCCAAGCTCCATAAATAAGTTTGTCCCCGTTAAAGTATTTTCGCCTTCTAAATGTCCTAAATGGACATCCAGTATTCTCAAAAATCTCATAATAAACAAGAAGAAAGCCCATGCAGTTTATAAGCGAACCAAGTTGATATCTGATCATCTTGTTTTCTCTGAATATAGAGCAAAAGTTGATTACTCTGCTCATATTAGTCATGCCGAGGAGGCTCTATCATMTTCCCCCTCCAAATTCTGGAAATTTTTAAATAATCTAWAACAGAAACCTCCAATTCCGTCATCACTCCATCTCGGTAATATTACTTCAAATACTCCAACTGAATCAGCTAATCTGTTTTCAACTCATTTCTCCTCGACGTTCAATTCCTCGGTTCTCCAACTTTCRCCATTTACTGGCTCATCCGATTACTTATSTTATKAACTGCCTTCCGATATAACGTTTACTGTCGACGATGTTTTTTCCGCTCTTAAAACGTTAAAAAATACTTACTCTAATGGCCCAGATGACATATCCGCTCAATGTTTGTACAATTGTCGTTTTTCTATTGCTTACCCAATTTATTTACTATTCAGGCGTTCATTAGATTTAGGCATATTCCCCATGATCGGGAAAATATCCTCTATAACACCGGTTTTGAAATCTGGTGACGCCTCTGATATCCAAAACTGCAGGCCAATTTCTATAATACCACATATTGGTAAATTATTTGAATCGATAGTATACTCCAGAATAAAGCGTATTCTTAATCATCTTATTATAAGTGAGCAGCATGGTTTTAGATCAAATAAATCAACCGTAACTAGTGGTGTTGCATCTTCTTATTTATCAGAAGTTATCGAACACAGAGGTCGAGTAGATGAATCATTACAAACTTTAATAAAGCATTTGAAACAGTCGACCACGATTGCCTTATAATGGTGCTTAAGTCTTTAGGCATTGGGAATCCCCTWCTATCTTGGTTGCACTCTTACATCACTGGTAGAAAACAATTTATAAAAATCAAAAATGCTGTTTAAGAGTTAGCTGTGATACCATCTGGAGTTCCTCAAAGAGGTCACCTTAGTCCTCTTTTATTTATTCTGTTTGTTAAACTCGATAACCAAATGGATCACAAAGGCTAAACTCCTTCTTTTTGCGGATGACATAAAAATTATCCTTAAAATAGACAGTCTTAATCAATGTCATRTCCTACAATCAGAAYTACWTATTTTTGCAAGTTGGGCGAACTCCATTGGTCTTAGCCTTAATATAAGTAAATGTCATGTTATGTCGTTTTCTAGGCAGCGATCTCCTATCCACCACAACT